AAGATCCGAACAACATCAAGCACGAAAACATAAACTTCGGGTCCTAGACCTTGCCATATCCTGAACGGAATTAATTGCTTTCACATCCCTAAACCTTTCCCTCTCTCCTCTAAGTGAGAAAAAACATGTAGGACCAAGAAAAAATAATAGGCACTTTTATAAGCTGGCTTGCATTTTCCTATTGGCAGCAACTTGCTAGTGTCTTTTAAAAATGAATTTTCATTTTCCAAGGAGAAAATCTGTATTGCATTTGCAGTTTTGTGTGGTGGTGATGGTGACGGTGGTGGTGACGGTGGTGGTGGTGGTGGTGTGTGTGTATGTTAGTTTGCAACTGTTAGAATTTTAGCCCTCAAGTCCTAAGCGTTACTCGAGTGGCTTAAATAGACTGAAACAGATTAATCATGCCCTTTTATTCCTTTGTCTTCCTTTCCATTATTCTTTTACCTTCTCTCCACCTCCATTTTGCATTTCACAATGCAAATTGCTTTGTGTTACAGGAACAAATTTAAAGGACACATGGACAAAAACTGGGGGGGGGGCGGTGGTAATGGGAGGGAAGTGGGGAAGGATGGGTGGGCGGGCTGGAATGGGAGTAAAAGGCAGAAAACAGTACTTGAACAATGATTAAAATAAAATTTAAAAAAATTGCTATGTGTATCTTTTTTCTTTAAATGGTATCACCTAGCTTTATCGACAAAAAAAAATTAAAATTTCCCTTTAGGAGATTAAAATTCACCACCACAATGCACACTGCATATTTTCTAAAACTTTCACGGTGCATTTATTTTAGTTATATTAGAAACTACTGTTACAAATTGAGCTCCTGCTCTTGCACTTTCTCCCTGGGAACCCACTTCAGCCCTGCCCAAAGGTTACAACGGAGTGAACCTACAGTCAGTTCAGTAGTCCACAGCAAAAGGAAACTTCAACGTCCAGACAGGAAAATGGCTACTGTCACGTTAGGACTTACTGCCCCTAAAGGAGCTTTGGGGATGAGGTCCTCTTGCAGCCAATGCTCACAGCAAAAAGATGTGTTTCATCAAGAGCAGATCGTGACTTACTATCTGACTGACTCTATGAGTTCAGCAAAGCATGAATGGGGACCCAAGAAGGAAGGTCACAGTTTCTTCCCCAAGTACAGGAGAAAATGTAAATCTGTCTCGGTTTTGTGTCTTTATTTCAGCTGAACTTCAGAAATTCTCAATTCACACTATGTTTCCAAACTCTTGGTTTCCAGTCACAAAAACTAAAGGTGGTAGAAAGTAATTATTGCCACTAGAAATTCTCAATCTGCAATCATTTTCATAATTTTAAACTCCTACTAGCTTCATCAGTAGTTTGGCATGCTTAAAGGCATTTTTTTTAAATCAAAATACACTGGGGTCGATATATGTTTGTACATTGTTTGTACTGGGTCCTCTCCTTCTTTCGCCTATCCCTGCCCCTCCCACCTGGAGAGCTGCAGGTCCCCATCTCTTAGGAGAATCCACTCCTTTCTACAAATTAGGAACTGAGATAAATAGCAGTGGTGTAATCTTTACCCACTTCCTACTACCATTGTTAGCCAGATAAATTGAGCTCTAAGATCACCTTATCACAATTATCCAGATAAATCACATCAGGTCTTCTGCCCACCTCTGACCAACAAACCCTGGCAGGAGAATAAGCAAATGTGTGGACGGGTACCACACTTCCAGACTGAGAAGCCTGCAAACATGTACAGCTCTCCCACCTTTCACTTACCTCGTCCTTGGAGACTTCACGTTAGACACTGTTACCTGCATAAGTTTCTTATACAGTCACCCAAGTTAACCTTTACCGTATAAATCTGATAAAATTCCCCTGAGAGAAATACATGTTGTATTTAAGCAGAAACTCATTTCTCACTTTAAAGCATCAGATCACTAATGAGCATTTCAGAGGGAGCCAATGGGCTCTTTATACGATACGTGTGGCTGACTATGAGTAAGTCCAGGAAAAGAACAGTTTCCCTAACTGCTATTTGTTGCTACCAGGCCTAGAAGTGTCCACCAGCCCCCACCCATTGAATTACAATTCAATGGTAATTTTTAAAAGAAAAAAAAAAGATTGTTTAAACAGGAAAGCATTGTATTTTTGAAGTTATAATTCACTTTCAGGCATGCCAACGGTTTCGAAAGAAAAAGGAAATAAGGCATAAAAAAAGAAAAGTGTCCTGGCTGGTGTGGCTCAGTGGATTGAGCGCCAGCCTGTGAACCAAAAGGTTGCTGGTTCGATTCCCAGTCAAAGTACGTGCCTAGGTTTTGGGCCAGGTCCCCAGTTGGGGGCATGTGACAGGCAACCACACATTGATGTTTCTCTCCTTCTCTTCCCCTCTCTCTAAAATTAGATAAAATCTTTGAAAAAGAAAAAAGAGAGAGAGAGAGAGAGAGAGAAGTGTCCTAAATTGGCCCCTGAGCTTTCTTTCTCATTAAAGGACACATTCAGGTCCTCACTGAAAGCCAACAGATGACACTGCCCTTGTGATCACAGGTTGGTCTCTGTTGTTCATTAATAAAAGCATCTTATCGAGGGAAATTACTGAAAGTCTTCTAGGAACATTCCTGAAACTTTATTTTGTTGTAAGAAACATGAGTGTTGAAATAATTTGCAAAACTAACATCTTTAGAAATGAAGTAAGTCCGTAACACTTCTGATAACCCTTTACCCATCCATGTGACAACAGTCCCTATTAAAACAAGTTTCGAGGCACACAAACCAAATGGCAGCTGTCAAATGATTCATCTAAAAGTAAATGTTGATTCAGACAGCTGCTTCTAACACATACAAGATTAAGTTAACAAAACGCACTCCAAGTACTCATACACTGACAAGTTATTCTCCATATGTTAGCAAGTTTATCAAGCTTGAAAGGAAGTTATTGTCTCAGCTAAAAGAGCTTTCAAATCTAAAATATTTCACTGGCAGCTACTTTATGAAAAACGGGTCATAAAATGTATTTAAACTTTACTATCATACTTTCAATCATTCTGCTTACAATTGAATCCTAGCTTGAGAAATTTATGGGCTGAAGGATGGGCAAAGACGTGAAGGTAGGGTTATGGTTTGCCTCATTCTTTCCCCCCAGGATCTGGGGCTTCAAAGCCATCAGGAAATCATAGTCCCATGACTTTTGTTTGCTCATCCACTAACAATTCACAACCCCATGCGTTATTCCAACACACTTTTCTTCTTTGGCAAGACTTGTGCGCTCAAATCAGGCAACGTCTCATTTTCTCTGGAGGTATTCTAACGTTAACTCTTCCCTCTGTCCCTACACCCCTTGAAAGTGCCCTCCCAGACAAAGAATGAGGAGATAAAGTTGAACAAAACTAGAGGATGCGGTGACTGTCCTGTAAGTCCTTCCTGGGTGCTAGCTATCTCATCCTTCTGTGTGTATAATAATCTAATTTCAGGAATAAGGAGATAACACATTCTCTTATCATGAGTACGACGTTGGCATCAAGGATAGTCAGGACCATGAAGTCTTCTCAAGCTAGTTAACTCACTCATTGCTGACTTCCATTGATGACTACAGATGGCCAAGCTCCAACTTCCGGTGTTTCTAGGCTTTGCGGTGAGATGAAGTCTTATAAAAGAAGTGCCAGAAACTTGCTTTGCTAATAGCTCCATGCAAGCCCCTTCTCACGTGCTCTATTACGTATATTAACTCAGTGCCCTGTACCACAAGACTGTAGCCAAACATGTACGGCTAAGGCCAGCTTACTTTATGCTCTTTTGCTAATGTAAACAGGTCATCCGTCTTTTTCCCATTTTAAATAAACAACAGCAAAGGGATCCTTGACCAAGTTTTATCCCCTGACCATATGGGATGTGGATGACCTTCAAGTGCCGAAAACACTACCGCGGAAATCCACAGAATCAATTACACGGCGCTGAAGTGCCCTGACTTTCCAAGTGGGTTTAGGTGTTATGGTGCTAAAAAAAATATATATGGATTATAAGAACACAAATAAATGCCTTCTTCTTAGCACAAGGCTCAGGGGCCAGAAAGAGGTATCAGGAAGAACGTAATCATTTCTTTACAGAATTAGGGTGTCATGCCCCGTTTAGAAGGTACTTCGAGCGCCAGAGAAACACTAACTTCTCAAGACAACCAAGTGTCAGGTGGCGGTTGTGGGCAAGGCTATGAGGAGGGGAGACGGGGAGGCCCACCGTACTCAGGAGCTCGAGAGTCATGATTTCCTGCAGTTTCAGTTCAGTCTGGGTTTTTTTTTTTTCTTCTTCTGCCTCACACTCTTTTCTGAATCACCACATCTCTGAAAGTTTCTCAAAATGAGTTTCTCCCCATCTATGACTTTTGCAACAGTTACAAGCTATGCTCCTGTTCCTCTTTTGCTTGCCCCCACCCTCTCCAGGGAGGGAAGGGGACCCTACAACCTGGGAGCCTGATGACGCTGTCCCTCCTGCCTCTGATGAAATCATCCCCGCAAGGGACGCTCTGAAGTTCAAGTGAAGCTGTGGCGGAGGCTGCGTTTTACAAAACCAGACCCGAAGGACCAGGAGGGAAATTCTGCTCGCTAGGTCAGGAATCCCCAGGGAAATCTCCAGAAGCGGGGGATACCCCCTGCGGTGTTCTGCGGCAAGTTCCGAAACAGCTCAGAACCACTACGTCCAGAGACAGGAAAGCCAGGTGTTTCTGGCCCGGGTGGGTCGGCGGTTGGGGGAGCCGAGCCCCAGGCGGCCGCAGCGGAGGGAAGGAGGTCCTGCCCCACCCCGCAGCCTGCACCTGTCTCTCCCAGCCCTCCCGCGGCGCTTCCCCGAGCATCCCCGGCCCCACCCGACCGGGGCGCGCCGTCCAGCTGCACCCGCCCTGGGTGGAACACAGGGACCCCCAACGCCGGCAGGTAGAGAGCGGGGCGTGGAGGCCGGGACGGGCTGCGGGCACCTGCTCAGGACGTCCCCTCTGGGGCCAGTGCACAGGCGGCCCTTCCGTCCCAAGAGTCCCCCGGGAGGCGTACCTCGGATGTAGGCGCACTTGCCCTCGTCCAGCTGGCTGGAGGCCGAGGCGCCCATGGCTGCGGGGAGCGCGGGTGCTGAGCGCAGTGGCGGCCCGGCCCACACGTCAGGCGGCACTGGCGACTCCGGTGCGTGCCCGCTGCTCGCTTCTGGAGGCTGAAGCGACGGGTAGCGGGCTCTACAGTTAAAGGACCAACTTCCTCCGAGAGGCGCCGCCTTCTGGGACGCCGCCTCCAGGTCCGCGCCCTCCGAGGAGCTGTGGGCTGGCCCCGGGCCTTCCTCCCGCCCTCGCCTCTGCGCTCAGCTGCAAGGGGGTGTCTAGTCTGGAAGGACCTTCTGCTTCTTCTCTTCGTCGGCTTCTGCTTCTTATTCTCAGAAGTTTAGGGCCGCCCAGAAACACCTTGGAGTAAATGGACCATTTCCCTGGTGACTGGAGACATCTGTGAGCTGGCACCTTACCCACTTAACATCCCACCAGGTGAAGTTCTAGGTCTCATCGCTTTGCACACCTTCTGGTGCAAGCAGCAAGAGCTCTTCCCAAGCATGACCCAAGAACCGGTTAGAAACGCAAAATTTCGGCTCCCTCCCGCCTCAGGCCCCCCCATCCCCACCACACGCTGCCCCAGTTGGAAACTCTGGGAGTGGGCGCAGTGATCTGTGTTTCCACAGGCCCCCCAGCTAATTCTGACACCTGCTGGAGTTTGAGAACCAAGGGTAAACTGTACCTTCCTGCAGGCAAGAAGTTGGGCCAGGGAGGAAGTGGCGCATGAAAGGAAAAAAAGAATGAGAAATCGAAACACTTAGGGAAAACCCGGGGCTGGGTCCTACAGTGTGCTCCCAGCCCCAAAGCTTAGACTCGATCAGCCTGTTCTTAGACCTCTAGGTGCAGTTTATCTCCTTGACAGATCGAAAATATTTCGTTAGAAAGGGCATCTGTTCTTTTCCCACGGCCACAATTTAGCTTGGCAGCTTCTCCCAAATAAGAACCAGCTTGGGCAGAAGGGACATCACTCATTTCTTCCTATTCTTAGTAGTGAGGGTTTTAATGACTCCTGTTGACTTAACCTCCAAGGTCAAATGGCCTGGGCACACAGAGCCAGACTTCGAAGGCTCTTCCCTCCACGGTTAACCCGCCAGGACGTTCACGTGAAGATTTCTCACGTCTCACACCCGGTCTCTCCCACCCTGCACTCCAGTTCGTCCAGGAATTCTCTCAGTTCTACAGTGAACCCTTCAATGTCATGGGTTCAAACCTTGCAGGTCCACTTATATGCAGGGTTTTTTCAATAAATATAGAGTCAGATTTGGGTATCCCCCAGTTTCAAATTCGTGGTTTTTGGTATCTGTGGGGATACTGTGACTAGTCCCCTGGGGATACTGAGTACTGGGGGAATCCAAAGTCATATGTGAGTTTTGCGAATGGGAGGGTTGATACCGCTAATCGATCCCCTATACTGTTCAAGGGTCGTGTACTTTCAAAATAGCTCCAATACCCAATCATTTTTCATCCCCTGCACTGCTATCACCCCCACCGTTTCTCACCTGGACAATCACAATAGCCTCCTAACTAACTGTTCTCCCTTCTTCAGAGAGAAAGCCACAGTCTGTCACCGATACTAGGCCTACATTCTCCTCTGCCCTGATCATGACAACTCTCCCCTTCCTCTGTCTGTTCCAGGCCTGGTGGCCGATTTGCTCCGCTAGGACCACACCAGGTGCCTTTGCACCAGCTCTTACTTTGCCTGGGAATCCCTTACTCTTCCCTCAGACGTTCACACGGTTCACTCTCTAAGCCTCCCACTTCATTTAAACCTCCCCGAACACACTAACACCTCGGAGAGGGTTTTCTTGACCCCCTGTTTAAACACCGGCCCTCATCTCTCTGCTCCTTGTGCTTCATACGTCTGTACGTATCACTTAGTATCATCTGGCAAATATTTCTCCGTTCGTCTCTGCCCACTGAGACGGAAACTCCATAAGGTCAGGGATTTTCTTTGGTGATGCTATTTCTTTTGTTTGTTTTTTATTTGTTTTATTATTATTTTTCTTTAAGAGCGGGATTTGAATTCATTATATTCTCTGATGTATCTCAAATGCCTAAAACAGGACCTGGCACATAGTAGGTCCTCAGTACATAGCCACTGAATAAGTGAATGAATGAAATATAAAATATAAGAATCTGGACTCCATACAAGCTGTGATCTCAGTGACTGAAGAGCATCTCCAGATCATTACCTACACAATGATTTAAACTATTCAGTGTTCAGTTCTTTTCTCAATATTGGCTTTTACAATTAAGCACATCTTCTCGGAGCAGTAATTCCTTTCATTATATAAATTGCTATAATTGTGTCTCAGAATACTGCTATTATTAAAGAAAACTAATTTGGATCTTCTGCCAGAACATAGTGTTAGCCTGTCACCTTTTGTTTGGGAACACGTGAAGAAAAGACTGATTATTCCGATCTACCATTCTTTGCTCGTTTGCAGCGTGCACTGATGGGACGAGGTGCCAGGACGGATTTGCGTGGCGTAGTGTTAACAAGCTTTGTAACTTGACAGTCCTGGCTTCAAAGCCTCACCTGATAATTTAATAGCCATTGGACCTGGGCAAGCTGCTTAACTTACTTCTCTCAGTCTCCTCATCTATTAAATAGAGCTACTAACACGTCATGGGCTATTGTCAAAATTGAATTTGATCTGGTCTGTGAGGCACATACCATATTCCTGGGATCACAGTGTTCAGTAGATGGAAGCTGGGGCTATTATGATCAATAATGACAACGGTGGTCCAGGAAGCGATTTTCTAGAGAGAGCGGAACTTTAATTAGACCTTGAAAATCAGAAGGACTTCTGTTCCCTTTTTCACCCAAACAAATAAAGCACTTTTTTTTCCCAATCGGTTTACAGGAAAAATTAAGGAATTCATTATTTGAGTCATAGTATTTAACATTCGCAAATCCTATGTGGGCATCATTTTATTAATCACACACTAAAAATGAGTCTCCAAGCAATTCAATAATTTTATGAACCAGATTCAACTTCGGATGGCTCAAATCAGCTAGCTTAGAAAATTTCTTATGCAATGTTCGGTTTCGTGTTGTATCCGTGTATTTTGTGTTGAAATATTCTTAAGACCATTTCTTTCAGGTAAGGAACACATACTAAAATCATTGCCTTTTAAAAGCATCTTCATTGAGATGTATTCATATACATAAAATTCACCATTTAGATGACCTTTTTTTAAAGGAGCAAATTAGTTAAATAGACATTTATTACCTCTCAAATGTGTGTTTTGGGATTCTCTTGCATGTCATAGAACCACGACTCTCTTGGCTGCCACGTTCTCATTGGACTCAGTGACATCTGCCTATCTGGGCAGTGAGCACCCTTGTCTATTTAGCTGCCTGCAGAGGAGAGACCATCTCCAACGTCTCTGCACTGCCCCAGGCACCTTGCACTGCCCTGTAACACAGAAGCAGGAACTTGGTAATGACTTGACTGATTAATAAGTACACAGAGAGTTACATATTTACCTAATATACCCTGCACGAAAACCCGCTGAGGTAGGCGCCATCATTGTCATCAGTTTACAGAGGAGGAAACCAAGGTTAATACGTTTAAGGGGTTTATCTGAGGCCACTTGCCCCTTGGGGTTATCGGACTCCAGAGTTCATCCTCTCAACCACCGCCCTACTGCTTTTACCTTAAATCTTGCTTTTGTTTATTTACATAAGAAATCTAGGTTTTACTATAGAAAATTAGAAACTATTGGTAAACAAACTATTGATAAACAAGGTGAAAAAGGGGACCATCACCCAAATCTCACCATCAATATCTTTAGATAACCCCAATTACAAATAACTCCAAGCTTGATTTATAGTCCTACAGATTTACATATATGCAATTATATTTTATAGTTATATATAAGCTTATTTATAATTACCTGTTTATCAAAACAAAATGATGCTTTATGTATGTATTCTATAATTTGTGTCATAATTTTTCATTTGCAAAGTTTCCACTTAAATAAATATTTAGACCCAGGTCGGTGATAGTTCATTGAATAAATGTGGTTTAATTCACTTATCTACCAGCAATGTACGCATACCTCTTCCCCTGTTCCTCAACCACATCTTCATCTCTTTCATTGTTTTCTTATCACCATTATTTTCATGATCCCTTTTAATATTTGACAATTAGGGAGTTCACTTTATTGTTTAACTTCCTATTGTTTAATTTAGAGGAAGAATTATTTTTTTCTGTGGGTTTTCTGGCTATACTTGTTCCTCTGTGAATTGACTGTTCTTGTACTTGGCTTTCTTCTATTTATTTCTTATTATTGATCTGGAAGAGCTTTCTACATATTGAACACATTGACCCATTTACTGTGACACACCTTGCAAATTAACACATTTTGCCTATTAAAATGTCTATTCCTATGTTCTTTATTGAATTATCTTCTTTGAAGATTGTGCCAACCATAGGGAAACTATAAAATCAATTAAATTGGTCTCTGCCCCACTCCTACCTTTCCTTTCCTTAACACTTTCTTCTTTGTACAGTTTCGGAAGAACGCCTCACCCTATCAACAATATCTTTAATAGGTTGTTCTACAAAGTAAGTCAACTATAAAATTGAAAGTCATTGTATAATTTTTTCTTAGTGAAGCTCCTTCACTTACTAGCAAGATTGTTGGAATAATCTAATATGTTCCGTCTTTCTCAGGGAAATAAGCTTTAGAAGCTCTAGTCCTCATTCTGATATTAACTTGCCACATGGTTTGGGAAAAATAACATAAGTGTTCTAAGACTTATAGTCCTCATTTTTTAAATGGGTATCCGTGAAAATTAAATGAGGTCATAGATGTAATTCACTATATGTATATTACTATGCCTGGCACATATTTAGTATTCCCTAAATGAAGCTAGTGTGACAAGAATACATGAAAAGATGTCTAACTGTTTATTAACTACTTTACTAACATATTAATAATTGTTCTTTTTCTTCTTATTCTTATCATAGTGCCTTTGTTTTGTGACCACCAAATCACACTTTACAGGAGGCAAGGCACCAGGGCCAATTTTGAAAAGGAAAAACATGTACGTCTTATATTTAAGTGTAGATTTGAAAGACATAAAAAGCTGTTTTCATAATACAAACAATAGAAAACTAAGCTGGATAAAATCATCTCTAGGGAGAAAGGGTAGGAGGTGGAATCCAACTTCTGTTCATCAATGATTCTTT